TATCTGAGAGAGAGAGAATAGTAGAATCAAAGATAAAACCTAGACTACGAAACTTATGAGAGACATCAAGAGTTTTAGAATCAGGTAAGATAATAGGAGGAATAGTAATTGAGTGTTTAGATTTATTAAAACAAATTAATTCAAACTTAGAAGGATTAAGTTTAAGACACATAGAATCAGACCAAGCGATAATCGAAGAAAGACATAGAGATAAATTATGAAGAACACTATTGAGATTAGATGGAGGAAAAGAAGTATAAATATAAGAATCATCAGCATATAGTTGACTAGAGAAAGAAAAGTTATTAATAATACGAGGTAGTTCAGAAGTATAGAGTATAAATAGAAGAGGGCCAAGGATAGAACCCTGAGGTACCCCGAAAGTAAGAGTAGAGGAGTTAGAAGTAGAATTATTGAGAACAACAGAAGAAAAACGATTACAGAGATAAGAAGAAAACCAAGATAGACAAGAATCAGTAATATTAAAAGAAAGATGCAGCAGTCTCAAGAGAATAGTATGGTCAACAGTATCAAAAGCTGAAGAAAAGTCAAGAGCAAGAAGAAGAGTAAGATTACTATTGTCACTAGAGAGAAGGATATCATTGTGTATTTTAAGTAAAGAAGTAAATTATATATCTATATATAAGCAACTCTATATTCTTAAGTAATAATTGAAATTGCGCAAAAAACAAAAAAAACTCTATGTGATACCTATCTTTATCGGAACATATCATTAATTTAATATGTTTCAATAAAGATAGATGTGTATCTGCATAGGCATGAAACACATTCGAAATGCATCAACGAGGTATATTACAGTTTTATACATATGAAACCTCCTCCCTCTCAACTACCTTAATTAAATTTAATTTCACCCAGTGCCTGGTGGAAGGCCTCCTCCTTCCCGTTCACGTGAATGATGCCGAGCTTCAAGTACATCCTCCAAATTTGCTTTTTCTTCACTACCTTTGTGAATTGACAGGCCACGAAGTTCTCAATAGAACTTTTGTCCACGTCTTTTTCATCATCGTCTGAGTTCAACGGGTCAGGATCCTTTTTTTCTGCAGCCGAGGATTCGTCAGAGAGGTCATCATTTTCTCCCACCACCTCTTTCTCATTCTCTTCATCATCGGAATTGTCGCACAATCTGTCCAGCTGTTCTTCAATTGTGAATAGCACTTTATTGCTTCCATCTTGATTTCTATGAGACACTAAAAGCTTGTTTCTTAGGACTGGTGTCCTCGTTTTAAGACGCTGCAAAACAGTTGGGCTGGTCGGACTGGTGTTGTCGTTTTTCAAAAAATTGTTGTTGTTACGGGTGGTGTTGTTCAAGAGTTGCCATGTGTTTGGACTGTTAAGGCTAATGTTGTTGTTTGAGCTAGAGATGTAGTTAATGTTGTTCAAAATGTTTGGGCTGTTAAGAGAGATGTTGTTCAGGTTGACGTAGTTCCTTGGCGAGAAAATGTTTGTGACGTTAAATCCAGAGTTAGTGATCATGCGCGGCGTCATGTTTGTGTTGTTGAAAGGCATCGCATTTGAATTGATCCGGCGAATATTGTGCATGTTGTCCAAGCGTGGAATTTTGTTCCGAATGTTCTGGCTCGTGTTGTTCAAACGGGCATTTGAAAGCACCGCATTTGAGTTGATCGAGCTTGGTAAGATGTTCGGATGGTTCCCGCTGTTGATGCCAGAGTTCATCAGACAGATGATGTTGTTAATGTTTCTCGGCACCGTTGTGATGATGTAGGAGCCTGTCAACACGTTTGAGGTGTTGTTTATGTTATTTATGCGCTGCAAAACTTGTGGACTGCTAATTCTGATGTTGTTCAGGTTGACGTTGTTGTTTTGTGGAAAATTGTTAAAGATGTCCAACACAGTGTTTGTGTTAGTGATCATGCGCGGGACCGCATTTGAATTGATCCGGCGAATATTTATCTTCTTGTTCAATCTTGGGAAATTGTTTTGAATGTTCTTGTTCGTGTTGTCCGAGTGTACATTTGAATTGATCAAGCTTGGTAAGATGTTCGGATCAACTTTGTTGTTGTTGATTTTTTTATTCGGATTTTTCCACAAGTTGGAGTTGTCGATGGATTTGGTGTATCCAGTGTTAATGTTGCAGCGATGATTTCTTTCATTAAGTTAATGTTATCATCTGTTGCTGTATTATTTGCGGATACTCTTGGTAATCCATCCGAACAATTTGACTCTGTCAACTTATTCTCCCATAACGTGCATGAATAAAAAGTAACGCAATTAAAAAATGTTCACGTTATGTTCAACGAGATTTAAAGCGCGTTCGAACCCGAGACTTACTGGCATCTTTTTACAAAATCAAATAAAATTTGTGTAGTCTGTCCTACCAACGCTTTATTATACAGCCCTATAAACTCACCTTATCTATAATATATAATGTTTATTTAGTTTGTTTAAATTTAATATCCAATAATAAATTTTTTTACTTAAATTTATGTAATTCTGTAATAATAATAAAAAATAATAATAATGAACATTAAAAAACAATTTTTTAATTTAATAAATAAATTAAATAATAAATTACAACATATCATTAGAAAAAGAAACAAATTAAAATATAATTTCACGTTGCAATTGAATTTAATAATAATATATATACTTGTCCTATTTTGCTTTATATGTACAATTCCCAAGGTCTTTTTTGTAAATTTTTTTTGCTTTATTGAAACTAAAAAAAGTCATTATCGAATTCACGACATTTCTTTCAGAATTTATAAGTTTGATGTTAAATTGCACAATAATTTTTCATCTTTAGAAAGCGCTTCAACATTGAGACTAAAAGTAAACTTACTGCCGCTCAGGCAGACGAGATTTGTGAGTTTTGACTTTTTCTTGGCGTCTATTTCATATTATATTTTGAGTTTTGTTTGACCGCTATTTTATTGAATCGAAATCGATGGCGTTTTCCGCTCAATCAGACGATGGTTTGTTCAAATCCAATTTTCCGGAGTGCGACTTGAAGTTGTATTATAGTGGGGAAGAATTGGACAAAATGTCTATTGTGGAGAAGTTAATTAAATTTAACAAGTTGAAAAATTATTTCGTTTGCAAATCTCTAGGTTGGCTATTTTTTTAGATTTTAAAAATTAAATAACTAATTTCATCCATTTTTTAATTTTTGTGATAGAAATGCAGAGGTTTAGCCAAGTATGAAATTTTCAGCATTGAAACCCTAAAAAAAATGAAAAATTAACTTCAATTGAAATTTTAAAGGCAAAATTGAAATTGAACAAAAACCTCTTTATTAATTTGTAGAGAATGGCACTGAATATTTTTTCAACTAATTTTAGCCCCAAAACAATAAAATGTAGTAATTCTATTTATTATTAGTAATTATTACTAATAATAGAATTACTGAGTAATAAAATAGCAAAAGGAATGATGGCATAAAACTGGTTGACAACATTTGTAACAAATTTAATTTAATTAAGCGATTAAGCCCCTCCCACAACTAATTTTTGGATGTACCACAGATAAAATAATATGTAATAGAATAGATTCTGTATCAATTAACATCATAATTTTATTTTAAAATAAAATTTAATGTTTCAAATACATTTAATCATTAAGATTGCAATTTTATAAAATGGAAACTATTCATTTTTGTTTGTTGCAATGTTTATATCAAATTTTTAATTTTTTAAGGATTGGATCTGGGTGAACCTGATTTTTTAAAAAAGATGAAAGCTAAAAATGTTAAAAAAAGTTTGTTTCTAATTTCAATTGTTGACATTTTGATGAAATTATTAAATTTTAATTTAATTTATCAGCAGAAAAAGGTTTTTCAGAACTGCCTGAAGAAGTAAAAAATGCTTTATTTTTCACAGAAGTCCCTGAATCTTTCTATAAAGAAGGAGGATTGTCATTTGTTGGTCATTTTTTAATTTCTACATTTGTTGAGTTAAATATTGTTATCATAAACAATCATTGTTTATTAAATAGTTATGTCCCTTTCACATGATTTGATGTTAATTAGTTGAATTGATCATGTCGTTGTTTCAGTTTGATGATGATGAGGAAATCACAGAAAAACACTTACACGGTGTACAACTACCATTAGTAAAAAATGAACAATACAAGGAGGCTGCCTGGAATTTCATCAAAGCTATTGCTCCAAGCTCACTGCAATTGATGAAAGAAAGTTTAAAGTTGAAGCAAAGGGCATTTGACAAATTTAAAAAAGGAGAATTAACATTGGAAGACATGCAATTATTCTTTCCAACAAGTGAATTATTTTTAAATTTATTTTTTATTTGTTTTTATCAGATGAAATTTTGTTATTATCATTATTATTAATTAATTATTATCATAATTAATAATTGTCTTGGTTATTACATTAAACTGACCCTCACTGCCTTGTGAGTGATGTTGCATCATCAAAGGCTAGGTCCACCGCTTATAACTGTGGTTGCGTAAGGAAGGGCGTCCTGCGTAAAAATTAGCCAATAAAATATTTATGATGGCAAAAGGGGTATTTAGGTTTCATCATAGGTAGCCAAACGGCAACCCCCGATCTCGGGGAAAATGACGTCTAAACGTGTGTTGTTGTTGTCATTATTATTAATAACATTATTAAACATTCTTCTAGATATGGAAATGTTAGAAAATGCAATGGACAATGTAAAGTTGAAAGACACCAAGCCAAAAGAACCAAGATACAAGTTAAGGAAAGCTGATAAGAAAAACTATGCTGAGAAGGATGATTCTTTTGATACTGATAATGAAAATGAAAAGAGTTGGGATATTGGATCACAAAATTCAACAAGCCAGGATGTACCAAGTCATACATCCAATGGTATAAAATCAGTAACTTCAATAGGTAATAGCAGCCAAGAGTCATCAATTCAGTCAGAGAATAGCAGTGATTCTTCAAATCAATCAAATCAAGCTTCATATATCCAAGTTCAGAATGAAAAAAAGGCCACACGCACATTTCTTTGGTCTCACTACAACACTTTTGCAGCCAGAACTATTCCGGACGGCTTAGAGTTGAGATATTCAAATCTGCCATCTTCAGTCTTGGGCATCTTCACCAGCAGGCCAATTGAGATTGATACAATATTTGGACCATACGTGGGAGAAGTTCTGTTTGATGAAAAGATTGCATCAAAAACTGGATTATATTGGGAGGTATGTTTATAAGTTTGTTACTTTATGCTATTGTGACTCATTAATTATAATAATAAATTGTTTTCTCTTTATTTATTTTTTATAAATGCAAGGTTTTATTCAATTAAAACTATTTCCATCTGTCTAATTAGCAGTCAGATAAAGAAAAATTATTGTTTTCGACTATAACACGACTCTTATTTTCAATTACAGATATTTGTTGACAACTACAGCCATCATTTTATTGTTGGTAAAAATGCAAACAAGTCCAACTGGATGAGGTATGTGAAACCACCGGTGAAGGAAGAACAAAGAAATCTAGATGCGTTCCAACAAGGTTGCATGCTCTTTGCTGTTCCCTTTTTAATATTAATTTGATATCATTTTATTTTAAATCTTTTTTTAAGTTTGAACATTTTTTTTTCTATTTTTTTTTATTTTTCCTCAAGTAAATTTGAACCTTAGCAAGTTGTCACTTATCAAATATGACGACAGAATGAAAACAAAAAATTTACATAACAAAAAATTTACATAAACAAACTTAAAAAATAATCAAAGTTATCAATATGTTACCAATAAACTCTCCTTATCCAAGGATTTCAGGTGTATTTCAGAGCTAACAGAAATATACCTGCCAACCAGGAGCTCTATGTATGGTACACTTGGGATTACAACCAGGATTACATACTTTATGAAGGCCAAGGTGTGAGTTAATTAGTTAATTTTAAATATCTATTACATATTTTAGGCACATATGTTTTAATATTTGTTATTTAACAATTATTTCATATCATTATTTAAGTTTTAATAAATTGAAATCTGAAAATTTAAGAAATGAATTTTTAAATGATATTCGATTAATAAACTTACAGATTATATTCCAAGGAAAATGAGTATGAAGAAAAAAATTCATGATAAAATAATGAATGAAAATTTACCGAAAGACAAAACAAATCAAACTGTTGTCAAAAAGGCAATGAAAGATGAAGAAAAAGATGAGGCTGTAAAAATTGATGATAATGCCGCAAGCAAAGAAAATGAAATGAAAATTGAAGATGATGAGAAGATTGAAGATTCTACCGAAACATTGAAATTTGACGGCCAAACGAAGATTGAAAAAAAATTTCAATGGGATGTTTGCAACAAGTCTTACTCAAATAAGGGTAACCTAACGAATCATAACAAAATTCACTCTGGAGTGACACCATACAAATGCGACACATGCTGCAAATCGTTCACTCGGTCTGGTCATTTAAGGGGTCACATTAGGACTCATACCGGGGAGAGACCATATAAATGCGATATCTGTGGTAAATCGTTCACTCTGAGTTCTAATTTAAATGTTCACATTAGGACTCATACCGGGGAGAGACCATATAAATGCGATATCTGTGGTAAATTGTTCACTCAGAGTTCTCATTTAAATGTTCACACTAGGACTCATTCTGTGGAGAGACCATATGAATGCGATATCTGTGGTAAATCGTTTACTCTGAGTTCTCATTTAAATGTTCACATTAGGACTCATACTGGGGAGAGACCATATGAATGTGATGTCTGTGGTAAATCGTTTACTCGGAGTTCTCTTTTAAAAGTCCACGTGAGGATACATACCGGTGAAAAGCCCTACAGTTGTGGAGCGTGTGGCAAGTCTTTTAGTGATCCTAATTGTTTTCGACACCACATGAAGACTCATAAATAATTTTTAGAAAACATAATTACATTGGTTGATGAAGTTGATTAATTTTTAACACTGTTAATTTTTTATGTTTTTGTTTTTTAAATGAGTTTTATTACAGATAATAGTAACATTAACAACAACACTGACAGCCGTTTCTAATGCAAGTCATTTTTGCTATGTTTTTGAGTTAGAATGAATTTTTATGAAAATTAGTTGGATTATAGTTGATTGATTTTTAATTCTGTTTTCTTCGTTGTGTTGTTTTGTATTTGAAGTAATTTTCATTTTAATAAAAACATTTAAAGATGTTGTCTACCAGTAGTGTGATATCCGATAAACTTGAAAATCTCGTTTGTACCTTACAACGAGTACATTTTGTGTGTACATTTAAGTACTACCGCATCATAAAGGGTAGGACAGTGCTTAGTAGTTACTAAGTCGATTCAGAAGTAGTGATTATAAGCAGGGAGTTTCGGACTGATGTGATTTTTTTTCAACAGAACGGTAATGACATTAAGAATTCATTCAGTGCAAGAACACGTTTCAAATGTTTATACCATGAATACGTGGTTTCGACTTATTCAATTTTCATAATTATACAGGTCAACTTATTTTAATTTAGTAATTTGATCATTTGACAAATGTGAAAAAAGTTCAAATAAGGTAAAAAGATATAAATAAAAGAGATTGTTCAATTATGACTCAATTTTTGTTTGTGTGTTAAAGGTTAATCTCTCTCTTTTGCGCTTGCTTCAGAGGTTTCAATTGCTTCAGAGGTTTCAAAGACAAACACACACAGCGTACATGAATACGCGTGCAAACCACGTATCACGCACATTGATGATAGGCGGGGATCTCTTTGTATTCGAACTCAGTCATTGCAATAGCAAAACCAGGCGCCTTTAACCATTGAGCCATTACGCTGTACATAATTATGTGACAGATGATCTTGTTCATTTTTTTTTAAAGTTGTTTAAGACTTTAAAACAGCTGGTTGTATTGAAAACACCGCCGTATTTTAATGGTAAACAAACACCAAAGCAGTTTCTATTTGTTTTATCTATATAACACTTTGGTTGAAAAACAATTCGAACTGATGCAGTTAGCCGTTCACGTTGCTGTGGTGAAGTACGTGAAGTTTTGAAACACGAGTTCAGTCAAAGAGAATACGTCACTGACTTGAGAACGAATTGCGCATGAAACCGACTTGAATTTTTGCCAGATTAAGTCCTGGTTTAAGAAAGGAAGGACGTAGAAGAACGGAGAAGGCGTAGATAAAACTAATTTTTTTGAAATAAGTACTCTACCTATTAAAAAAAGTTTTATAGGGTTTAATTATGTGCAAATATTGTTTGAAGGTTTTTAGTTTCGATTCTTCATCGACAGACGTACGAATAATTTTGTATTGGGTATATTTTTTTTATATTTTTTTAAATGTATTTCAACGCTAACTTTTTGTGTAAATATTTAAGAAAGAAACCATATCAATGCTTGCTGTTTGTTATTCATGAAAGTTATTAAGAAAATGAATTAAAACACTACAAAATACAACTTTTTGAAATATCGCAAATTTGTTTTTATATTCAATAATAATTTATATTAACATTGCATAAAGATTCGTCAAACCAAAATGGATGAGTTTGTGTTTAATTTATATTAACATAAATATTTTTAATTAACGTAACTAATCTTATAATAAAGTCGTAGCAAGTTAGTTTATCATTCATTATTCAACATCCATGTGACGCTCGAAGCAAAAAATTTAGCGGCGATAAACTTAGTGAACTGTTTAAGAGAAACTATAGATTTTTTAATTTCAACCAGCCATCAATCAACTCACAACCGACAACTTCTTCACATCCCGTTCCATCAGCACCTTAACCCAGTCTACCACTTTTATCAACAAACACATCATTACATCCACCAATGTCTCCACCAATAGATGTTTCACAATGTTCATTACAATCTACCACAAAACCACAAACACAGTAAGAACTTAAATGCAGCTAATGCAAATACAACTCCACTTCACGCGCTATCATCACCACAAAGCCTGTCAACAGAGTCACAACTACAAGTGGCACTACAAATTATTCAATCATTCTGTAGCCCAACCACATCTTTCACAACAGCAATCAGCGTTACAACACGTTCAACAGCCCATACGAACAGCTGCATCAAATGCATAGCAATCAATATCGCAATCACAATGACTTGACAAACATTTTGTTCCGCAATAAACAATTATCATTTTAATAAACGTACAATCTGCACTCGATCAAAGAGTAGATATATGTTTCTTAATTGAATTTTTTTTATTTTTAATTTGAGGACAAAGTGGAAGTATGCTTGATGAGGACGGCGAAACAAGTAGAAGTCTGCTTGGTAGAGAGTTAGAGACAAATATAGTAGGATCGATCAGATTTAAAATGAGCTGAAATCGTCCGATACTTTATAAGCAGTGGCAATTATTTATAAATAGACTATTTGTTTAGCAAACAAAAAGTAAATACATACTTACAGCGGTGCCTAAAATAATCGCGAATGGATTCAAACAGAAAGAAAGTCTGTTGGTTTAAGATAATTGTTTTTCATTTCAATCTTAAAATACTTCGTAATTTACAGAAACTACTTTTCCCAAAAATAAATAATTTATAACAAAACAAATTATTAAGATATTCGAAAAAATTATGGAGAAGTTCATCATTTCGATTTTAAAACATTTCACATTCTAAAATATATCGTAATATTTAGAAGAACTTTTAATGGTTGGAGTAATGTTATAAATTTAGAGTGGAATTGTAATCACATTCTTGCACAAGGTAGATGTATCAACAACAACAAAATATGCGTTTATTATTGAAATAATCTCTATTTCAATAAGTTAATAAAAAACAAAACCAATAAAAGATTAATGCTATAGTCTTTTGAAACGTTAACTTTAAAATTTTAAAAATTACAAAAACTGATGCAGGCTGATGAAGTTTTCAGAGACAGGTAAACGGGCTTGGCTGATGAGATCTCCAATCCATCGATACTTCTTCCATGTTTCCTCCATGTCCTTCTTCAATTCACTCAACATCAAATTCACCGATGCAAGTTCTGACGTGTATTCTTCCTGGGAATGTTTGCTTCCTGCATACAGGACAGCCTTGCGGTTTCTGTATATTTCAACAGCCATTTCCATAATGACGGACACTTGACAATATTTTTGGAAGATTTGCGGTTGGTATGTTCTCAGCTGGATCGATTCAAAGGCACGCAGAGGTAGGAAGAAGGAAGAGGGCAGTGGTGCTACAGGAGTGTGGTTGATGAGGGGACAGAAGAGAGACTGGGGAGGAGCAAGCAGTATCATTTTAACTTGGTCGTTGAGAGGTATGATGGATGTATGTAGACGGTTGGAAAGAGCGACTCCATCATCAAATGTGCCTCTGTTTGTTTGCTGTGTTGCCGATGATGGAGATGATGCTGGTGATGTTTCTGGGGTAATTGGTAGCTGTGCGAATGTTACATCATCGAACTGAGGCATGGTAGAAAACATTGTGCTTTTAAAATTATCGTCGATAGCTTCAAAATTTCTACTTTTCAGTTCATTCAAGATGTTTGCACAATTGTTCGTCGTCGATGTTCCACTGCTACTGTTGTGGTCATCGTTCATTCTGATGGATGGAAAGTTGTTGGGGGTATCTTTGGAGACGAGAACCTGCAATCCGTGTTGCAAGTGACAAGTCATGTAGAGATAGCTTATGTACACTCCATCCTTCAGTTGTTCGTTCAAATTTTTGGACTCCGTTAAAAGTTCCTTGCAGTTGCTGGTTAGATCGTTCAACACTCCATTAGTTTTCAGTTGTTTGTTTGACACTGGTGATGAAGATAACTTGTCTAATGACATCCATTTCAGTGTCGATAAAAATGATGATGAAACTGGTGATGAAGTAAGAGATGGTGTGGAAGATTTTGATTCAGCGTTGATGTCGTTGTCGATGAACATAAAGACGCTGTAATTTGTTCCTTTCACGATGTTGGTGTGCAGATGACCCAACTTCTCAATTCCAGTTATCTTTTGCAAAACGTTGACAGCTCTCAAAATGGCGTATTTTTCGTGAAAGATGTTTGGTTCTAATTTCTTGCAGCTTGTTAATTCGCTCTTCATCACTTGTTTCAAATTTCTCATCAGGGACCAATCACTTGTAACTTTCATCAGCCAATAGAAATGGGACTCCAAGTCAGACACGTTGTCCAAATCAACCCTTACAGTTGGAAGCATATTGTGTGACGTCACTAACACTTTTCCAGCTGATTGGAGCATGCAAGAGACGTAGAAACCATTTTTAACGTTGGTGAGTTGTTTGGAAAGTAGAAGACGTTTCACAAAACTTGGTTGCTTCATGTTGTTGTTTTTAGTGAGACCCATAGAGGCTTCCAATACATTGTCGTAGATGATGTCCTTGTTCAATGTTTTCATCAATGGAATGCAATGTCTGCCAAATTTCTGCAAACAATTGTCAGCTAAATTTTTTCTCATCATGTCCAGCCTTGCCAAAATTTCTCCAGTTCGCAGTTTTCCAGTGTTCTCGAGTGGATTCTTGGGACTACAATTTTTGTTGTCATTGTCGTTCGGCATCATACTTGTATCATTCATTTTGCTGTCATTATCTGTCTCACTAGCACTTGCCAGAAGTTGTCGAAATGAAATGACGCTGCTACATCTCCTAATGAATTTTGATTGGCTAGACCTGCGACTGATCCCTTTGTGGTCTCTGATGTCGTCCAAGGTGTTGTCGCAGATGGAGGACCGATTTCTTGCATCAGCATTATTAATCGAGGTGATAGATTTCAATATAACCTTCCCACGTTCTTCATTGTCGGTGTAGCAGCAGTTGGGATGAGGTGAGGGATGTCGATGGCGACGATGACTGTGGAGCTGATGCTGACTTTGAAATGAATATTGCGACGCGTTGTAACAACTTTTGTTATCGATATAATTATCACTGTCACCACTGATTGTGAACGGTACTTCTGATGAGTCCTTGCCAGATAGTTTCCTCTTTTTAAAACTTTTATTTACACTTGACTGCTGCTGCCTCTCATGCAAACCGATGTTTTTACGATAATTCATCAGACTGTTGCGAGTCATATTAGCACTGCAAATATCTTGTCTATAGGCAATGTTGCTAAATGTTGAAACGTGTTTGTTGGATCTGGTGAACTCTTGCAAACTTTGATGAGGTTTGTTGCCTCGGTGCATTGGCGAGTCTTGCTGCAACAACGCACGTTCACGTAAGCGCTGTCTGGAGTGACTTCCTTCGCTCAAGTTCACTTCGCTGTAGTGTTCAAAATTCATTTTTAGCCAGATGTGTTGTGAACACTTTTTAAAACTTCTATAATTTTTTATGTAGATAAGTATGCTGGAATTGCTGCAAATGTTACTTCTAAATGTCGATGATTGAAAAATGTTGGATCAGGATTTTTTAAAGTTGAATATTCGTTTGGTAGGATATGATTAAGACTGAAAATTGAATGATGAATTGTAGATGAGAGACTCTCTCATATACCCTAGTTGAGAGCTAATAATAAAACGCATATATCAGACTAAGTGTCAGCGTGAATACCTTACAGATCAACTTTTTTACCCCTAATTAAAAGTACCTGCCAAAAAAGGGAATACCTCACTGATTGGAGGATCGTTTTCACTGTCAACTTCACGGCTGCTAATTGAACCTACACGTCAAACCAATAAAAACTGAATACCTCACTTTACAACCCAGCATCTTTTCTTGCTTACGATTTTGATTTTTTTGATGCTTTAAACTTTAAATAGTTATCAAATACTTAATACTTGGATAAAAAAATGTTTTGTAATAATGTTGAGTCCATTCATCCGACTGTTGCGAGTCAAATTAGCACTGTAGATATCTTGTCTATAGGACGTTGATCATGGAGCGATTGTTCCATGGAATAGGTTATATCTAATAAACTTTTTGTAATAAAACTTGTTTATGCCAAACAATTTGTTGCTCGTAATTATCTCATTAGCTACTGCTAATTGTAAAATTACTAACACCCTAATTGCTCAATTGAAATGATTTCCCTGCAGTATTGTATCAATTAGTCCAATTAGTGCAGACTCGAGCCGCCTCATGTCACTCGCCTATTTCCAATTGACGTGTTCGTTTCAACAATCAGGATTGGTTTGTTATGATAATAATTATTAATTGTTTCAAACTTTCACATTGCCAATTAAGAATATTAATTTGATTAAATATAACGAAAAAAATTGAAAGACCAATTAATACAAAAACTTTAGACAAAGTTGAAATTGTTGGAGAAATGTAATTGATGTAATTAATGTCAATATTCAACACCGAAACCAATTACAAAACAACAATTTAGTGTCAGCATCATAGTTAATGTAGGAGTGGCAATAAAAATACTCAATACTCTTGAGACAAAGATAGAAAAGTTTAATCATAAACTCTTCAAATGTCATCCTAAATATTTGTCACATAATTAGGTGCACATAAACAAAAGTTAAGTCATAATTCAACAATCTCTCTTGTTTATATTTATTTACACAAAGTTGTTTAACTTTTATCACATTTGTAAAATGATCAAATTACTAAATTAAAATAAGTTGACCTGTATAATTATTTGTAAAAATTAAATAAATTGAAACCACTTGTTTATGATATAAATATTTAAAACGTGTTCTTGCACTGAATGAATTCTTAATGTCATTCCTTTTCGGTTAGAAAAAAACATCAGCCTATAACTCCCTGCTTATAATCACTACTTCTGAATCGACTTAGTAACTACTAAGCACTGTCCTACCCTTTATGATGCAGTAGTACTTAAACGTACACACAAAATGTACTCGTTGTAAGGTACAAACGAGATTTTCAAGTTTATCGGAAATCACACTACTGGTAGACAGCATCTTCAAATATTTTTATTAAAATGAAAATTACTTCAAATACAAAACAGCACAACGAAAAAAACAGAATTAAAAATCAATCAACTATAATCCAACTAATTTTCATAAAAATTCATTGAAATTCAAAAAAGATTTCGAAACTGAGATGCATTAGAAACGGCTGTTAGTGCTGTGGTTATTGTTACTATTATTTTCAATAAAACTCATTTAAAGACCAAAACATAAAAAATAACGGTTTAAAAAATAAATTCACTTTATCACCCAATGTAATTAATTTAACATTTATTCATGGGTTTTCTTGTGGTGATGATAAGAACTAGGATCACTAAAAGACTTATCACACACACCACAACTGTAGGGCTTCTCACCGGTATGTATCCTTACGTGGATTTTTAAAGTAGAAGGAAGAGCGAACAATCTACCACATATATCACATTTATATGGTTTCTCCCCAGTATGAGTCCTAATGTGTTCCTTTAAATGAGTGAAAGATTTGCAGCATATGTCGCATTTGTATAGTGTCTCTCCAGAGTGAATTTTGTTATGTGCCGTTAAGTTATCCTTTCTTGAGTAAGACTTGTTGCAAACATCACATTTATATGGTTTCTCTCCAGTATGAGTCCTAATGTGATCCTGTAAATGATCAGACCGAGTGAACAATTTGCAGCATGTGTCGCATTTGTATGGTGTCACTTCAGAGTGAATTTTTTTATGCATCCTTAAGCTATTCTTTGTTGAGTAAGACTTGTTGCAAACATCACATTCAAATATTTTTTCAATATTTGTTTTGTCGTCGTGTTTCTTAACACCAAGTTTCAGTGTTTTGTTAGAGTCTTTGCTATTCTCATCACCTTTTCGTGTTTTGATCCTTCGGCGTATAAACCAGTTTTTAATCTGACGAGTAGTCAGGCCGGTTTCATGCGCAATTCGGTGCCTATCTATGTGATCGACATAATCTTTTTGACTGAATTCGCGTTCCAAAACTTCACGTACTTCATCAGTGAAACGTAAACATGAATTAATTTCCTCTTCTTCCGAGACGACGTCATCAAGAGTAGATAATGCAGGCTGATTATCATAATTGTTTTCTGTTCTGTCAACTGGCTTGAAACTTTTGATTTTGGCCCTTTGGTTCTGAAACCAAAAATTAATCTGGCGAATACCCAGACCGGTTTCGAATGCAATTCGATCCCTATCTCGGACATCGATATACTTTTTTTGACTAAATTCCCTTTCCAAAACTTCACGTATTTTATCACTGTAACATTCCCGGAAACTTTCATAGGTACGAATAAAATTTTTTTCATTATTTGTTTTCTTCTCTTTTTTGCTGTTTTCATCTTTACTATCTTTTGGAAGATTCAACAAAACCACCGGAACATTTTTGTCGCTGGGTTTCTGTAGCTCCTGCAGTTGTTGCGTTGGTTGCTTCAGCAGATTCGAAGCATCAAGCAGTTGTTCCACTGGTGGGACAATGATTATGGGCTCTGGTGGTGTATTAGTAATTTTCGGTGAAGAATCTGCCGATATCGAAAGTGCCGGACGGACGACGTCATCAAGGGTAGAAGAAGCAGGTTGATTATCATATTTGATCACAGGGCTTCTGTCAAATGGCTTGAAACTTTTGAAATTCTGTTTGGAGAAGGAATATTCGTAACTGATTTGTTCTCCCTCGTCAGACAGTTTCTCATTTTTGAACTCTGGATCGGAAGGTGGCTTTTTGTTTTCCAAATTTGATGGGTAGGGTAACGAGCAGTTGTGTTCTATATCACACTGGTATAGCTTTTCTAATGACATTGTAGTAAAATATCTAGCAAGCTTAACAATATTAAAAATCTATTTATGACCCTATAAATACCTTGAAAGCCGTGGGTGTGCAATCAAAACAGGAATACTGCGAACAAATGACAAGAGACCTTTATCACCGTCTGTATACACTCCAAAAAAAATATTCAAGTTTACTCTTTTTGTATTGATTGGTAGCTAATAATCTAATTTAATTAATTATGGACGGTAATTTAATTGAAAGGAAATTTAAAAAAATTACACTTATAGTGACCACAAATTGTTGTAAAATAATTATTTTTAATACTTGTTTAAACTTTTACAATATAAATAAGTTTTAACAAAATTGCGAGAAACTTACAGACTGGGCTGATCAATTTAATGAACTGTGATACTTGCTGGGGAAACTGCGCCAATATATATAGTACCAGTCTTTGTCAGCTACGTATTCTAACAACGAATCAAGATTGACTTTGATTCAATATGGAAACTTTGCACACTTTGGATGAAATTAAAATGTCTAGAATTATTCACTATATAATCACTTTGCCGCGTTAAAGCTGAACAAGATTGACTTTGTTTAAAAAAGTGAACTTAAAGCATAAACAATTTGCTTCCAAAAATGACTTTGTTTTATTTTTGAAACTTTGTACGTAGAGCATAAATCACTTTAATTTTTAACCACGAATTTTTTTATGTCTTTTCTTACTCTTCATTTCGAAATAATTCTAGTCTTTTTAATTTTATACAATTGGAATTCAAAACCAATGCATACCTGCCAACATTTAGATTTTTAAAAGCGTTATAAACACACATATAAAAACACACACGCGCACACATACACACACACAAATATTATTATTATACCCACACACACACAATATTATTGAATTCTTTGTAGATTTTGTTCTCCTTTTGCTGTTTTCATCTTTACTATCTTCAACATAACCACCGTGCATTTTTGTCGTTGGGTTTCTGTAGCTTTAGTATTTGTTGAGTTGCTTGCTTCAGCAGATTCGGTGCATCACGTAGTTGTTCCACTGGTGGCACAATGATAATGGGCTCTGGTGGTTTATTAGTAACTTTCGGTTAATTAACTACCTTTTTCACTGAGATCGAACGTGCCGGACAAACGACGTCATCAAGGGTAGAAAATTCCTATATAGTTAAATCTAGGACCGAAAACGCTGGAACTGATAATTCCAAATACTGTAATTATTTACATTCCATATAGAAAAATTCATCAAAATTCAGAAATCGATTTGTGACATTCGGGCCTCAGGTGGCATAATCACTGGCACACAATACATGCCAGCTGGTGGTTTTTATGCCAGACTTCATGTGTGCCGCCTGGGGTTTTATAACGTGGCCACATCCGCACCATCATGTGGGCCTTGAGAAATCTACCTTAACATACTGCATATGGCCCATATAAATGGCGGTATTTTTTGCTATCTGGGGATACATAAACAAACCATACAAATGCGACTCTTGTATCATGAGAATGCACTCTGGGGAAAGACCTTATAAATGTGATGTCTTCGGTAAATAATTTACTGACCCTTGTTTAAACAAAACATGAGGGTACATACTAGTAAAAAGACTTACAGTTGTGGTGTGTGTGGTAAGTCTTTTAATCAATCTATTTCTTTGCGTCGCTACAAGAGGACCCTTAAATAATTTTTAGGGGATATAATTACATTGGTTGATGAAGTAGAATAACTATAATTTTTAAAAGTTTTTTTTTACGGCAAAATAATAACAAAATTTTCTTACTTCAAATTAAAAAATTGAATTTTTAAAATATTTAAATCAATGCCATCAAAGTTTTTCATGAAATGACATTAGGTTGATAAATGTTGCGATTAAAAAAAATGTTGGCTTAGGAAATTACGCTGAAGAATTTTTTCATTATTTCATATGAATTGATTTATAATTTTTAACGTACCATAATGTCCAACTCATCACAGTACAAAACTGAATTTTGTTAGAAACCTTCCTGAAGCAGGGTATGTTTATGTTGTTTCGAAGTGTTCGTTTGAAAGGTCATTGTGTCTTAAACAGTCTTTGCTATGCGATAGATTGAAAAGATAGTTATTCTTGCATCATGTTGATATAACTGCCGAAATGATCGAATTGCGCTATATTATTTGTTATTTTAATTATTGTAATCTTTGCTATATTTGTAACCTTTAGATTAAAAATTATAGAAGATTGTAAAAATCGATGCTAAAGGAATTTAATTTGAAAACAAGACATCTTCCGTTCATTTAAAAATATTTGTTGGATTCAGTAATATCACAGTTTTTAAAAACACCATCAGTTTTTTTTATGATTCTAATAAAATAAATTTTCCATTTTTCTCAATGGTGGAAGAGTTTTTGATATTTTGCTTGCCTCAACAATAGCGAAAATATAACTAACATAACTTTAATATTTTGGATCTCCACAAATTAATAAAAAACCTCCTAATCGCAGATTCTGAAAAATTTGAATAATTTGAGGCTTTTATAATTTGTCTCTTGTGCACCTGCTTCAGAGGTTTCAACGACAAACACACACAACTTACATGAATACGCGTGAAACCACGCATCAAACACATTGCATATGACAGGCGGGGATCTTTTTGTATTCAAGCCCAGTCACTACAACAGCAAGACCATGCGCCTCTAACCATTGAGCCACCAGGCCGCTCATTTTCATACTAATTCTGTTTTCTATCTGTTTTTAATTCTGTTTTAGTTTAGGTAACGTGTAAATACACGAATTGAACTCAAAAGCTTAGCAGTAAACTGGGGGAAAATAAAAGACACGATATTGAGCAACTACGTTTTTGAGAAGAACACAGAAGATGAGGATAACTTTGAAAATAAATGTCAAACATCGTGTTTCGTGTAAAAATTGCATAAATTGTTGCTATCTTGTCATATTGCAGTACAACTTAAAGAGCGAAGCTTATTTCTAAAATAGGAATGGCGTACAATTATATTCTATCCTTATCTTTGGCATAAGTAGCTTGCGAGAGAAGTTTTTCTATTTTAAAATTGATTAAAAATCGTATGAGAAGCAGCTTGTCACAAGAAAATTTGGAATCATTCATTATGATGAACACAGAAAAATCTATATTAATGAATTTAGACCACAAAGAAATTATCAATCAGCTTGCTGAATCAAGTGGTGCTTTTAAAAATTTGTTGATTGCTTAACATTTAGTTTTTGAAAGTTCATTTTTTAATTAAAGATATTATTAACAAAGAATAGAAGACAATGAAATAAAACTTTATTTTTAACGAAAACAAATACTTTTGTTATTGTGTTATTTTATCATTTTTTAGAGATCAAATAAAATTTTATTGTAATATTAAAAAAAGATTTTTATGGAGTTCAACAAATTATTGTTTATCAATTAAATAAATGAACTTAGTTTTCTTATATGGTCTGGTCCATATCCTGAAAAAAATATTTGCTCGGAAAGGGGTTCAAGATCCTAAGACACCATTTATACTACGTCTCTGGAAAGCTGATTTGTTTTAAAAGTTTAAGGCCGATTGATTTCAAGTCCCTAGCCGATTTTTGGTCCCAGTCCGCCTCTGGTTTTATTAAACTAATACTTTACAACTGAGAACATTTCATTACTAACACGTGGCAAACATTTAGATCCATCATTATATTTAATTTTTAATTTATATGGCATAAATATTTGAAATGTGTTTTCGCACTGAATAAACATTCACGTTCTTTAAAAAAGAAAATCAGATCAGTTAAGACTCCCAGCTTTACAATCACTACCTCTGAACCCACTTCGTCCAACGATGGTACCTGCCATGCAATTCAAATTTATGATGCAGTGCCTAAATGTGCACAAAATAATGTGTATCTGTATAAACACGTTGTGTGGTGCAAACAAGATTTTTAGGTTTAACTGATATCAAACTACTGGTAGGAATAAGTCAACAATTTTTAATATTTTTAACAAAATTTAAAAATTACTTTATAAACCGAACAACATAACAAAGAAAACAGAATAAAAAATCAATCAACTATGGACCAACTAGTTTTCATGAAAATTCATTTAAACTCAAAAACGTAGCTAAACTGAACTTTATTAGAAAGAGTTGTTAGTGCTGTTGTTATTTTTACTGTTACCTTTAATAAAAATAATTCCAAAAAACATGAAAAAAGAACATTGTACAAAATTAATCCACTTCATCCACCAAAGTAATTATAATTTTCTAAAACTTATTTATGGGTCTGCTTGTGGCGAGGAAAAAACTAGGATCACTAAAAGACTTGCCACACGCTCCACAACTGTAGGGCTTTTCACCGGTATGTATCCTCATGTGAACATTTAAATAAGGACTCCGAGTAAACGATTTACCACAGACACCACATTCATGTGGTCTCTCCCCAGAATGTATCCTCAAGTGAATATTTAAACAAGTATTATGAGTAAACAATCTACCGCATACATCACATTTATATGGTCTCTCCCCAGTATGAGTCCAAATGTGATCCCTTAAATGATCAGACCGAGTGAACGATTTGCAGCATGTGTCGCATTTGTATGGTTTCACTCCAGAGTGAATTTTGTTATGATTCGTTAAGCTACCCGTACTTGAGAAGGACTTATTGCAAACATCACATTGAAATTTTTCTTTATCATTCGTTTGGCCGTGGTATTTTTTAACACCAAGTTTTATTGTTGTGTTAGAATCTTTGTTCTCCTCAACAACTTTAATTTTTATTTTATTTTCTTTGCTTGCGGCATTATTATCAATTTTTTCGGCCTCATCTTTTTCTGTCTTTTTGACAACATTCTGCTGGGTTGTTTTGTCTTTCGGTAGATTTTCATTCATTGTTTTAACATGAATTTTTTTCAGTGGGCATAGATAAGCATCTATGTGATCGACATTATCTTTGTGACTGAATTTGCGCTCCAAAACTGCATTTATTTCATCACTGAAACGTGAGCAACTAAATGAACAAAAATATTCAGTAGCGGTAATAAACCAATCATTGAGACAAGACCAATGGCTCACATAATACCAGCAGTTCAAAAACTTTGAAAACAGGATAATGGCGACCACAAACTTGTTTGGTAGAGGATAGATTTCGAACGAGTGAAAGTCGTCATCAACTACGAAGTTCCAGAAGATTCAGACACCCACCCCCAGAGAGTGGCTCGCGCGGGAAGGTTCCACACAAAAGGATTGGCAGTCACTTCCTGGCGAGTGAATCTGAAACGGAGACGTTGAATCAAATCTAGGATTTGAAGTTAGCATAGACAAGCAGCCTAATTTTAATGACAACGCTGTATATTGTCAGTGAAAGGAGTTGAAAGATAGCACCTTTGTAAATGTGTATGTATATTTTCATGTATATATTATGTACACAATTGTGTATTGCCTTTGTTTATAGAAAAAAAAATAAATATTTATTTTCGTTTGAGATTTATCGTTGAAGCCAATCCTCTTTATATATATATATATTTATTTATATATATATATATATATATATATATATATATATATATATATATATATATATGTATAGAGCCTCTGTCGAAGCGGGTATAAAGCCTCTGTGAATATGTGTATATAGTTTTTGTGTATATGTATATTTTTATAAAGTGAACAACTTTTTTATTTTCATTTATTAATAATTTCTATTTGCTATTTGTTGTGCGGTGTAAAAAAAAGTTTAGATAGCGATGAAGTGAGTTATTTTAACGATTCAATTGTAGGAGGTAAAGAAAGGAATACGTTCACGCGCGTTCAATTAATTTAATCAGCAATTAACATAATAAAACCCAAATTTGAAAGTTCATTTAATTACTTTTCGGTTTTAATTTTTATTCACTAAATTGAAATTTATTTGAAATAATTCATATACTAGAATATTTTGATCGCATTTGCATTATAAATTTTAAAACCACGAATTCAGCGATCGTAACGCCTAAACATGCCAAGATAATTTTCTGGGAAAGTTTTTCTGGGAAAGTTTTTCAGTGATTTTTTTCATATTTTTTGTAAATACGTTTATGAAGGTAGTGTAAACTGTTAGCGAATATCATGGCGTTCCAACGGCTCTGATGTTATTGCTAGGTTAACTTGTCCGACAATATCTCAAAATTGAGCGTTGAAAATGTCATAACTCAAGTTTGACGGCAATAAGCATTTTATTTCAATACAATTGTATGTATACGTAATTGTTTGAATACTTTCGGGTGATTGAAAAAAAAGTTAACAGCTAAAATATTTATTTTCGTTTGAGACTTATCGTGAAAGTCAACATGTAGTAAGTGCTCCGACAATAAAAAACAGATTCTTATCTGCGAAATAAAATAAACAAATATTCACATTCATTTCAATATTTTAAGTTTTTCATAATATTTCAAAAAAATCAAATTTTATTAATAATAAATGTTAAAACAAAAGGAATATCGTGTTGTGTATCTGTCCACGACATTGTTCATGAAATTTTTTTTTTCAAAAAGTAAAAAAACCACCAAGTAACCATTTAACGCAGAGATTGGGCATTCAGCCATTGAACAAGTTGCTTTTGTGATTTGCTCAACCAGTTGATGTTCATTTGAACAGCATCCAAGATGTAAATGTTCAAACGATCGCTGTCTTTCATGTGAGTCCCCAGAAAAGTTTTTAACTGAGTGTGTGTGTGTGTTTGTGTGTGTGTGTTTGTGTGTCTTTGCATGTTTGTGTGTGTGTATTTTTGTGTTTGTGGTGTCTTAGTGGAAAATTAAATTAGCTGGAATGAGCTTTAGAAGGTTAAAAAGAGATTGATGACTTTTTGATTATCTTACATTTTATAACAATAAGCATCATAATTTTTTTAATCTACAATTTTTTACAATTTATTTTATGAAAAATATTGTATCTAAAGAATATAATAAAGTGTATGAAGTATCTTGAGGAGAGAAAAAAATCCAATAAGATACAAAATTCATGCATGGCTATGAAAAAACTCTTGCAAAAACTGCTATTTCATAGCCCAAATCTGATACTTCCATGTTTTTTATCAAAACTAAAATGACTAGTAAAGGAACGTTTCGATGTCTTGAGTTTTCAATTTGAATTTTTTATTAATACTATTAGACTTAGCGTGGTTATTGTCGTTGTCGTTGCAATGATACTAATGCTAAACGATAGCAACCAGAAAAAATGTTAAATTTTAAAATTTGCTTAAATGTATCGTCTTTTGTAAGCACGTAAGCAAATGAACCGAGAATTAACTTAGTATCACCATACTGATGACAACAATACATAGCGATTATTATCACCGTAACTTCTACCAACATCATCGTACTGGTCTTCGGTGCGAAATAGTGAGGCCAGTGGTTTGAAAATTGGTCTCAATCTTCGCGGAATGTTGTGGAACCTGTCGTTTTGTGGTGTCAGTCAGTATAGATGTATTAAGATGGGCACAGGCAGTAGATGTCTAGAATGTTGTCTATAATATTTTTAGCTGTTTTTTTAACAACTTTAATGAAATTATTTTTTTTTTACAAAGTTGGACTTTTTATTAACAGCAAATAATTTATCTTCTTATTGGCTATAAATTTTGTGGAGTGGTTTCGAAATGTGGTGTGGTTTAGAAAAAATAAACTAAAAATATGATAACATATAAAGAAAATTGAATAAACAATGTTTATATAAAAATAATAAATATAATATCGTAATAACAATAATAATGAAATAATAATAATAAAATAAATGTCACGCACATCTCATCCGACTCCAGTTGTTTTTGATGAAGCTCCACTGCAGCTGAGCCATGTTGGGACTGTTTTTCAGACTTCGGAGGATCAAGTGCAAGTCGCCTGGACTTGGTTTGCTCAGCGCCGTCTCGAGAAGTCTGCTCGGTTTGCGTTAATTTCGTCCGAAATGTAAAAAAAGTCAAGAAACAGACTTGAAGTCTGATAGAAATTCATCCATTTCTACATTCTCACATCACCGTAAAGTGTGAATAAATTTCATTTGTAAAGCATAATGCGTTGAAACAGGTTAAACGCTGTCGTTATTGTGAGCGGTTGACTGATGGCCTAAATACAAAATGAAGTCTGCCTATTAAATGCTAAAGTACAGGTTACTTCGTTTGTATGCTATACAAATTATCATGAATATATATATATATATATATATATATATATATATATATATATATATATATATATATATATATATATATATATAAGACTTCTTCTTCCAATATAAGACATATTGAAACAGTAGAACTTTGAGGTAATATAAATTGATATGATTGATTACTGACTTATTAAATTAGACTACTAATGTAAAACTGTTGAGGAATGTACAGTCATTAATCTACCCGTTAAATTTTGACGATTCGTTTGTGAAGGTAAGTGCTTCCAATATGACAGTTCTTCTTGACTGAGATGTCTTGAGAAGATTCATCACGTGATTCCACTCTTCCTCTCCTCCATATCTCACAGCGTATTTTAGCACTATTGGTTCTTGGTTCGGTGTTAGCCTGGTTGCAAGAATATAATTGAAACATCTGCAACCATCACTCCATTTCAACACCATTGTAATAACAACTAAAATTTCATTGTCATTTTTATCATAGCAACTAATATCTTCATCGTCATCGTCGTCTTCGTCATCAGTATTATTATTACAGCAACTAATGCTGTCGTCATCACCATGATCATCATCACAATTATGAAAATCATCATCATCATCGTTTTCTTCTTTATCATAACTATCATTGTCATAATTACCATCACTACCATTACTTACACCAATGACCCATTCTTGACCTTCTGGAAAGAATCCCTCGCCCACTTCACGTACTCTGGAAAGCCCAAGTCAAAAGCCAGCGGCAACAGCTCATTTCTTATCAATCTGATTGTCGGTAGGAAAATGATGGTGACGACGATGACGTCATCATGATGTCATATTAGTAATGATGTTGACGGTACTAATAATGTTTAAAAAATTTCGATTGAGATGTATTGAAATGATAATTTTGTTGATAACTCTTAAAATAATCTCGATCCGATATTTATATAAGCATAAAAATGACTTCTAAATGTATTTTCCTTCAAATAATTAACTATTCCAAATCGGAAAAAAAACTATGGCGAACGATCAGATAACGTAATAACTAAAAGTTCTAGATAATCATATCTACAAAACTGAACCAATATAACACCAGGTTGAATCTTTAGAAAGATTTTTATTAATTTTGACTTTTTTTAATTTATTTTTTTCATGCATTTGCATAACATTTTAGCATATTTACTATCTTTTTTTGGTGCCATATAACCAGACTAATTTGAGATCGCCGTGCCCGACAGGCCTCCCTAAGGTTGACCTCAGAAAAAAAAAAATTTCAAAAACAAAAAATTGACCTGACTAGAGAGAATATATCATCTACGATGTTGCTCCGATCCAATGGACTAAACATCTAAAAATTGTCAGAGTTTGGTAATAATTAAATAAATAATAACAATTATTATTATTACAATAATACATATATTATAGTTATTAATGACTGCAAAATCTTAGCAATTATATTATTAATATTTACAAATTTATTAAATATTAACTTAAAATAGAAGTTTACCTACCAAAAAAAATATAATAAAAAATAAGACGAAATATCTTTTAATAATGCATCAATTTATAATTAATTTTATTACAATAATGGCATCTATAAGTTATAATTTTATCATGTTATAATATAATAATAATATTATTATATTATTATGATAATAAAAAAAACAAAATATAATACGGTGTGATCTCTCTTGAGTTTTTTAATTATTTCTTTCCATCCCTCGTTTCCGTAGTTTACTCTGTAAAAGCCTTTCATGTGTTTCAGGTATATGATTAAGTAATCAAAAAAAGCAATTAGGTAATCAAAATAAGTAATTAAGTAATCAAAAAAGTAATTAAATAATCAAAAAAGTAATTAAATAATTAAAAAAGTAATTAAACAATCAAAAAAGTAATTAGGTAATTAAAAAAGTAATCAAAATAAGTAATTATATAATAAAAATAAGTAATTAAGTAATTAAAATAAGTAATTATGCAATCAAAATTAGTAATTATGTAATCAAAATAAGTAATTATGTAATCAAACTAAGTAATTATGTAATCAAGTTAAGTAATTAAGTAATCAAAATAAGTAATTAGGTAATCAAAAAAATAAGTAATCAAAATAAGTAATTATGTAATCAAAATAGGTAATTAACACGTATATGAAAAGGTATTGAGCTCTATTTAAAGTAAAAGTTTTTGTAGGTTTTATCCAAAAGATTGAATATTTTAATTTACATTTAAAATAACCATTAAAATACATATTGAATAAAATTCTATGATTGAATAAAATTCTAAAAAATAAAAAATATTATTCAAAATTATTCGCTATTTAACCTGTAACGTTAGAATTTGCTTTCAACCACTGAACGTCATCTGGTAGTTCATACTTTTCTGAAAACATAATAAAGATAATGTAACCAATTTGACTTTAAAACTTTAGCGATAAAATTATGCATAATAATATATAAAACTATGTACATGACAGTTATATTGTTTCCAATTAAGTCACTGAGTATCGAAATAGTTATTTGAATAATAATGAAAAAAATATTTGATTGGACGAAATTTTCTTTTTATTAATAATATATTATCTATGCATATTATTTTAATGGTAAAAGACGTCACTTCACATGTGTTAATTTTTAAACATTGTGTTAATTTGTATAGCGCCTCTTATGTAAAAAGCTAATAAGCGTAGAACATAAAGCAATCAAATTATTTAAAAATCTCTGAAAAGAAATTATTCAAATGTAATAAGTTGGTTGCTTAAAACGGCATTCGTGTTCAGCTACTGAAATCAGCAACTAGCATTTAAGGCACCATCTCAACTGAATGCAGTACTATCGCTACATATTTTATCACTAATTTCTTTCTGTTTACCAAACCATATATGAATAAAATGTTTAAATAGATTAAAGATGATTTGGCAACTAAAAAAAAGTGAAAAATTTTGTTTTAACAAAGTAAATTTTTAACTAAAATCAAAACATCAACGCTGATGCATCGTTAACAGTTCCAATGTCAAAATCAACATTCTGCCACGATCAAAATTTTTGATTACCCGTTTTGTTTTTTATAATAACAATGGAAGGATCAGATGGGCTCCTGCTGGTGACGTACGTTAGGGGAATGTGCCACCTGTAACTATTGCCGGCAGGAGGGTTAATTTATTTTAGGTTTCTAAAAATCAAACATGTCGTATTATAAAAAAAAATAATAATAATTTGTATTAAAAAGATGATAATTATCAACATCTTTTTATTCTGTGTTATTTTTGTGGCCTTCAAAAGACCAGCCCAAAAAAGTTTAAAAATCATCACATAAGCGCCGCCAACTTGAAAGGTGAGCTTTCAGGCTGAAAGTCTCTTATTTCCGAATGATCGATGATGACGAATCTTTTCTGACTACATGTCACGTGACGTCCATCTCTGTTGATGGTGACCAGGGGCAGGCCCATTTGAAGGGTCCACGTCTCCATCATTTCCTTTACGTTTAGGTCCGCAACTTTTGATAACTGCGTTAGTTTACAAAATTCTACATTTGAATAGCTGTTAAAAGTTGATCGCGCCATCAGGATGAATATTTAAATTATTTCACATATGAATAATCATTAACGCAAGTGCCACCTGTCGAGGGAAAGCAGCCCAGAGATCATCGTGGGTAGCAGTGGCGTACTGGTGTTTGTGGAGGTAGCTCCTTAGCGCTTCGTTGAAAACATCGGAACCTGCCACATTTTCTAACATCCGAATCAATGAAGCTCCCTAGTTTAGCCATGCAGAGGTTTTACAAAAAATTGATTCGTGTAAAAAATTACAACATTTTTTAGTTTTTATTATTGCAGCTCTGACATGACTTTCAATGTTACAGATATATTATCTGTAACTTATAATAGTTGAACTAATTTCACTTTTAATTTTTCCATTACTCATGCCGCAATAATATCACGGTTCATGACTGAAAAGTGCTAACTTACAATTCTAAAACTTTTCAAATTTGCATTATTTATTAAGTTTTTATTTTAAAAATCGTTATAATCAAACCTTTTTTTTACTACAATTAAAATTAAAACTAAGTTTCCTGAGTTTTTAAAATAAATTTATTACAAAAAAAATCAACCTTGTAGTAGGTGATTAAATCGAAGATCTCGGAGATGTACTTCGGATTGTTAACAGGACTGATTACTGGATGAGAAGAATCCAGCGAATCATCTGCCATCGCTGGCTCGATAACGTTGAACGCAAATATTTCCATCTGAAAAATGGAGATAATTTTTAACAGGTTTATTTGAGTGAAAAATGAAATAAATAAATTTAAGCGTCTAAATAGGCCCTTTAATTTTCTCTACAAAAATAAAATAGTTGTATGTGAAGTTTTTTCGAAACAAGCCGTCCAAAATTGTGCCAGTAAATCTTTTTTACTAAAAGCAAAATTATAAATTCAATTAAATAAAAAATGTCCCATTAGATACTGACCAGCGGACTCTCTGGAAGGATATGTTTGGCACCGATGTACATAATGTACGTTGCAAATCCTTCATTCAACCACAAATCATCCCACCATTCCATGGTTACCAGGTTGCCGAACCACTAAACAAAAAATATTCCAAAGTTTATCCACACACAAAATCACCAGATAAATATAAATGCTATTTGGATGTAGGTGGATAAAAAATCCTAAACAACAAAAACATGTCTAAAACCATGCTGGATTAAGGGAACTTATATAAATAACACCACGTACAGACAAGATATCATTAACGTTTTAAAGTTGTCATGAACTCTACAAACACATATAAAAATTCCACCCACTTCATTACAAAATTTGATGAAAGCACCGACTTGGTGAGAAACTTCGTGCGCGACCAACACCACCAAGTAAGTTTTGTCGTGCTGCGTGCTGGCACTTTCGTTATATGTTATATAATTAGCTGAATAGAGTATGAGACCCCAGTTTTCCATGCCGTTTGAAAACATTCCAGGCACTGCAACGCTATCTGTAAGGTTATAATGAACATGTCATTGCCAATGTCGGAATCGGCAATTTAGCTATGGTTACCATTTGTTTCAAATTATCCATAATTAGCCATAATCATAATTGACGATCAACGTGTAAAAATCTAAACGACATTATGGACCAATGATAAATTAGCAATGAATTAATGCAATAAGTGCCAACTACCTAATATTGTGAATGGATATCTGATTGCAAAAAACTCTTCAAAATAATCAAGCAATCTTGTTGTCGAGTCTAGAGCGAAGTCTACATTGTCGATGGTATCTGGTTTGGAGTATACTGAAACATAATTTTTCAAATGAATGGATGGACAAAATTGTCATCTCGATTAGAATCATTGATTGAAGTAAAGCAGAAGCCATAATATTGTCAAATAATTACGTAATAAACTAATAATTTCTCATTAACTTCCATCCTACCCACATTTACTCCACTTTTGCTCATTTGTGATTTAGAAAGAAAGTCGCAGACAACAAAGGCCACCAAGTACGTACTCATCTTGACGGTGATGTTGAAGGTGTCCATCGTTTCATTCATGGACACTGCTTTCTCCGATATCTAGAAAAATAAATTTATTGGTGAAAGTTTTTATCCAAAAGTCCTTAAACCATCTACCTTCTCCGTGTTGAACAATGAGATGTAGTCATTTGGCCTGATGATGTTGAACTGGAAGGTCGCCTTCATGTGCGGTTCATCAAAGCATGGAAATGCCGATCGAGCTTCAGTCGGTTGAAATTGCGTAGCTGCTAATAACCTGTAAGTTATTATGGAAAGTTATTATTAAAAATATTAAAACAAAACTGAAACCTCACAAACAAAAACAGTAAAAACAAAACAAACCTTACGACATTCTCTTTGGTCTTGTAAGAGGTCAAATAAAACCCCAAACTATCTGTTTTGATGACTCCAGTGAAGGAGATGTTTAGGAGGATGGAAGACCCTGCGACGAGGGGGGTACTCAATTCTACCTGCATCTGCTCCAAACTTTCGTCCAGTCTCCATTTCTTTACAGTTACTGCATCTTTAAATATAGATAATGATTATAATATGGTTATAAAAAATTGTTTGGATTTAAAAAAAAATTCAAACTCAACCAAAAGTGGGATGGGTTTGCTTATGCAACTATTCGGACATTAAAAGGAATGATAAAGTTAATGAAAGAAATAAGTTTAGAAAAATATATTTTAGTGAAATGTGGGAAATGGCATTTAAAGAAAAAATTATAAAAACAGTAATGTTGGTGGCATTCTTTAAAGTCTAATTTATGAAAATATATATGAAAAGATAAAAAAATTTTAAGAATTAACCATTAAGATCCTTGTAACGTATGTTGACGCTGGAGATTGTAAGGTTTTTACTGTGCAGAACAATTGAACCAGTACTTTTCTTGACTGTGACTTCAACATTTGACCAGCCGCTGAAAGTTGATTTCTGAAGATCAGGAAGGATGAGGACCTCGTAACTTTGCGGAATCAAATCTTTCGGCAGTCTCAAATCGTTCCAACAAAATTTAATATCTTCCTTATCTGCAATTTTTCTTAAAAAATGGCATCGCGAATTTCTGGGGTCAGAAGGTTGCTTGGAGAGAGTACTGGTCAGAGCCAGAGAAATCACAAGCAGGCATAACGGAATTTGGCTAAATATTTGAGTCGTCATTAATTCACGTTTAAGAAAGAAGTTTACCAACTAATTCTTTTTTGTTATCTCTGTTTTTGGGAAAATTCAAATGCATGTATTAAGATTTATAACTGCATTAAAAATTTAAACAACAAATTTGAAACGCTCAAACCTGAGAGGGAGTTTTAAAATATTTTTTTGAATTGCAGTTGAGAATATTGAACTTGTTAAAAAAAATTGATTGGGACTCTGTTGCGGCGCCTCATTTATATCCACATCTTCTTTATTTACTTATCATAAACTTAAGTAAACCTTAGCAGAAGACAAATATTCAAATGACCTCAACCAGCAAGTTTGTACAAACGATGCTATGTTAACTTAATTAATTTATAAAAATTAAGACATAATTCATGGGGTGTACCTTTCAGGTCAACTATATATTTTTATTAAAAAAAAAATGCTCTTTGTACAATATAAAATAAACGAACGAAATGATTTTCTTCAAATATTGAGAATTGGATTTCAAAGCAAACTTTTAAATATTTGCTTATTCAACAGATGCTGTAGAATTACTACACCCGACCAAATTTCTTTAAAAAGTTATTTGACTCTACAATTTATTTATTTATCCCAATGAGGATCACTAAGAAAGAAATTTCCTGAACAACGTGCTATTTTAATAAATTGGAATTAATTTGGTTCTGGGGTGAGCGATATAGGGAGTATTATCTCGTAGCATCAAATTCTGCTTAAAAATCGTTTTTCGGAATTACAATTTCAAATTTTTTGAGAATTGTTTACAAAAAGTTAATTGTTAATAGTGTAAATTAATAAAAAAGTAAATTCTTGTAGTTGCGGTAATTCATATTGCTTACTCTACCGGGTGGGCCAGTCGGTGAAACTGGCGCCACAAAAGAAGAGGACGAGGGTGTTGTCATCCATAGTAACACAGACACCAGCACTTGAAGGAACGATGTATTATGTTATTGAACCGCAAAATTCTGGCGTCAGTCATGATTTTGGAAAAATATCGGTATTTAAAATACAAAAATTTTTTCAAATGAAATTGGAGAACTGCAATTCATAAAAATACAACCAAACAGAATTATCTTCAAGATAAAAGAAAAAACCCAAATAGAAAAAGCTTTAAAAATCGACTATATGATAGATACAAAAGTCAAATGCTATCCTCATAAATCACTCAATACAAGTAAAGGAGTTATCAAAACAACACTATTTAAATATTGCACAGAGGAAGAAATAAAAGAAGAATTGGAAAAACAAGGAGTTTGTGATATATATAACATTAAAATTTCAAAAAATAATCAGAAGTTAAGCACCAACACTTACATATTAACTTTTCAAAACCCACAGCCTCCAACAGAAATAAAAGTGTGTTACCAAACTTTAAAAATAGATAGATACATTCCACCTCCTATGCGATGCACACGATGCCAGAAATATGGACATCATCACAAAGTATGCAAAAGCAAGGAAATCATATGTGCAAAGTGTGGAAACCCAGGGCACAAGCACACGTGGGAATCTCCTTGTCAAAACACACCAAAGTGCTATCACTGCAATGAAATCCATGAAACATTTTCAAAAGAATGCCAAAAATTTAAAATAGAAAAAGAAATAATAAAGAAAAAAATTGACAATAACATATCCTACAGTCAAGCCAAAAATCAAATCTGCCAAGAAAATAAACCGTTATATTCTCAAATAGCAAAAAAGAACATTTCAATGTCAGACAAAGCTGTTCAATGTGAACTAATAAAAACACCAATAAATCCTTGCATAGAGTCATTTAAAAAAAAAACAAATATAGATGCTCAAAATCAAACACAAACCAAAAAATCAGAATCAAGCCAAAAAATAAAACAAACAAATAACAAACCCTCAAATCCAAAAGAAAATATGAATGAAAGTAATGACTCATATATGTTTCTTTCTGATGAAGACATGCATGATGACTGCTTTAATGATAATAGTGATGATGAAAGATGTACTAATTACAAATCAACAACAATTAAAAAGCCCAGCAGAAGTAAACACGGATCGTGATACAAAAAACACAACAAACAAAATAGAAAATAAAACAAAATTCAACCAGAGCAGCATAAATAAAAATAGTATATATCCATATGAAGACTTCCAAAACAGAAATGACAATAATAATATAATAATATTACAATGGAACATAAGAGGAATGAGAAACAATTTACCTGAATTACAAATATTAATAGCAAAATACAAACCTCACATCATCTGTCTCCAAGAAACAAAAACAACTGATGACAAACAAATAATCTTAAAAAATTATTCATCATACTATAAAGCAGCCACTCCAACTAAGACAAATCCATCAGCTGGAACAGCAATATATATACATCATAAGATCACACAATCTTCTCATCAACTAAAAACTGATCATCACTTCATAGCTTCAAGAGTCACATGCAACAAATCATTTACCATATGCAATGGATATATCAAACCTAATAATATAATGAAATCGGAAGAATTAAAACAGTTAATTCAACAAATCCCTAAACCATTTCTCCTCGTCGGCGATTTTAATGCTCACAACCAGTTATGGGGATCCCAAAACGCAAATATCCAAGGCAAAGAATTAGAAAAAACCATTATAGAAAATAACATTTGCCTCATCAAACCAGCAGCTCCAACAATGTTCCATGAGCACACAAATACATCATCCATAATTGACCTAGTTATGACATCCCCAACAATGTTTGAAGATATTGTATGGGAAGCTGAAGAGGATCTTCACGGCAGTGATCATTTCCCAATAATTTTAACAATGAAAATTAAAGCAACAAATTATGAATGTAACAGATTGAACTACAATAAAATAGATTGGAATAAATTTAAAGTAATGACAAATGAAATGATGAAGAAATTGATGAAAACTCAATGGACAAATGGATAGACATAATAACAACAATCATAAAACAGATAACGCCGACTACGCAAAATAAGAAAGATAAAATACTAAATCCATGGTTCAATAAAAATTGCAAAAGTGCAATTAAAGGAAAACAAAGAGCATTCAAAATATTCAGAGACAATCCAACACAAATAAATCTGATAAATTACAAAAAATTGAAAGCTGTAGCTCGGAGAGTGGTGAGAAATGAAAAGAAAACTTGTTGGGACTCATACGTCAATAGCATTAAAGGAGATACTCCCGTTAAAAAAGTGTGGCAAATGATTAGAAAAATGAAAAATAAAAATTCTGACAATAAAACAAATCACATCATCATCAATAAAAAAATATATGAAACAGATGAAGAAATAGCAAATGTGTTGGCTCATAAATTTCAGCAATACACCAAAAATCAAAACAATATATTTGAAGCCATCAAAACCAAAGAAGAAAATAAACAGATAGATTTCAAAACTGAACATCAAGAATTTTATAATACCCCAATAACCATCAGAGAAATGTTACATGAAATTGACAATAGCAGAGATTCATCGCCTGGTCCAGATCAAATATCATATAAAATGCTTAAAAACCTTTCTCAAAAGTCACAAACAATACTACTCAAAATTTACAACTATATATGGTCGAATGGAAGACTACCAAAATTATGGCTCCAGGCAATGGTAATCCCTATAAGTAAGCCAAACAAATCAAAATCACAACCAGACAGCTACAGACCAATATCTCTGACCTGTTGCACATGCAAAATAATGGAGAAGATAATCAACAATAGATTAACTTGGTACCTAAAAAAAAATAAAATCATATCTGACGTACAATGTGGAGGCATCAAAGGAAGATCAACATTGGACCACTTGGTGTCACTAGAAACTTCCATAAGACAAGCTTTGAATCAGGGAAAGCAAGTAGTAACAATATTTCTTGACATAGAAAAAGCATATGACACTGCTTGGAATTATGGAATTCTAAAGAATCTATATGAAGCAGGAGTAAGAGGAGGTCTGCCAGAATTTATTCAAGCCTTTTTAACAAACCGTACTTTCGTTGTAAAGGTCAACAACTCCCTATCAGAAATAATGTCTCCAGAATTAGGCATTCCGCAAGGAAGTATTTTGTCTCCAAACTTGTTCTGTCTAAGCATCAATAATATAACAAAAATAATCCCTAGAAACACAATGATAGCTCTCTATATGGACGACATAACCATTTCTTTCCAAGACAAAGACACCAATAAAATGCAGACAGAAATAAATAAAACCTTGAAGGATATAGAGAAATGGTCGAATGAAAATGGAATACAATTCTCAAAATCTAAATCAAAAGCAATATTATTTTCAAGAAAACGCAATAAAACGTATCCCAAACTGATTTTTCAAAACAATCTCATAGAATTCACTCCTCAATATAAATACTTAGGAATAATATTTGATTCAAAGTTAAATTTCATACCCCATATACAACAGATAAAGAAGAAATGCCTGAAGGCTCTCAATTTAATTAAAGCATTATCTCAATACACATGGGGCGCACATCAAAAGCATTTGACAACAATCTACAGATCAACAGTAAGACCAATATTAGATTATGGCGGCCCAGTATATGGTGGCACCAGGAAATCCTATATGAAAATCCTTGAGCCAATAGTAAACGAAGCTTTAAGAAGATGTTTGGGTGCATTCAAAACATCTCCATCAAGTAGCCTTCATATATTAGCAGAAGAGATGCCACTATGTCTTAGACACCAAAAACTATCAATAAATTACTACCTCAAAATAAGGACTCAAATAGATAATCCTGCTTATAAATACATAATGAGTAAAAATCGACCAACAAAAATTAAATCCATTCCCACAATTGCAATAAGATTAAAAGAATATATCAAAGAAATAGATAAAACAAAGATTTTAGAGGAGATAACCCACAAAACCCCTCCATGGCTAATGTCTTACCCCGAAATTGACACATCCATAACAAGTGCAAACAAAGACCAAGAGCTGGCAAAAACTATGTATANAAGAAAAACTAAGCAATAATGAAAAT